TCACCAATTCTTCTACCTCACACATTTTAATGTCCATGCAGCCTTAAATGTCCAGTGTCCACTCTGTTCTACTTTTGAGACCCATATCTTTGTTCTTTCCACAGCTTTACTGCAGTCCACACATTTCTATATAACCTTTGTTACTTTACTGAAACTAACTCAGATCTATATTAATATTATAGTTTTACTGCAGCCAACTCATTTCTCTATAAACTTTCAGTTTTACTGCAGGCAACTCATTTCTCTATAAACTTTCAGTTTTACTGCAGGCAACTCATTTCTCTATAAACTTTCAGTTTTACTGCAGGCAACTCATTTCTCTATAAACTTTCAGTTTTACTGCAGGCAACTCATTTCTCTATAAACTTTCAGTTTTACTGCAGGCAACTCATTTCTCTATAAAAATTCACAGCTTTACTGTAGTCAACTCATTTCTATATAACCTTTGTAGGTTTACTGCAACTAACTCATATCTATATTACCTTTCATAGGTTTACAGCTGCGGTCAACTCATTTCTCTATAAACCTTTACAGCTTTACTGCAGTCAGATAATAACATTTTATAGTTTTACCACAGGAACTCATTTCTATATAACTTCGCACAATCAACTTATTTCTCTATAAATAAACTTTCACAGCTTTAATGCAATCAGCTAACATTTTATAGCTTTCCTGCAGACAACTCTTTTCTGTAACCTTCCATAACTTTACTGTAACTCATTTCTATAAACTTTCATAACTTTACTGTAACTAACTCATTTATATATAAACTTTCAAAACTTTACTTTAGTCAACAAACTTCTATTAGACTGGCCAGTTTCTATGATTTGACACTGTTTTACAGTTTTCTTCAATGTTCAGATCTTGCAGAATGTCCCATTCCCCCCCCCCCCCCCTTTTCCCCCTTCAACATGATCACACACAAAAAATAGGTAATGGATCCTTTTCCATGCCCTTAATAAATAGTCATGGGTTTATGGGGGCTAGACCTATATTTTATAGATCAATCAGCACTCAACTGGTGATGCAATCAACATCACTCTGGCCACCTTTACTTCCCAGGACTTCACCTGATACCCCATTTTAGGCTGGGGTGACCTAGCCAAGGACATTTTTAAAAACACAAAAATTTGAAGTGATGTAGATTTGAATCCACAACTCACTACACCACAACGGCTAACCCAGCATGAACACAGATAACATTTTATGTTTATACAAATACAATTACTGCAAGGATGAACAGTTTAACATGTAAAACCCCTTAATAAACATTTATGGTGGCATTTTGCATAAGTGACACCAACTAGGTAAAACATGGGGGAAATCATAGTTCAAATAATAGTAAAATAACAATCTAGTTGGCAGAAAAGTAGCGGCTAGACACCCGCCCATTGATCTGAAGATAGTGGAATTTTTTTCCTTTGAAACATCACATTGGCTTCCAGGTTGACTCGGCCTTAAATAGGAACCAGGCATAGTCCTAGGAAGCGAAGGCGGCCTGTGTAATGTTGACTAAATCACCCACCGGGGGCCCATGAGTCTACAAAAACATGAGTCTAGCCTCATGTGCCTGTTGCATCACTGGTGAGTAAAGGGACCTTGGTTTTTATGTTCACAAGACAATAAAAACAAAAACTGAATCAGAATTAGCAAAACAAAAGGAGTATTAACCTGGTATCCTTTATGAAATAGATAAAATATAGGTCAATTTATGAAGTCTTTGATATAAATTCACACATTAACAAATGATCCAATATTTTCTGGTCTTAAACACTGTTTCATGGAAGTTAATTATTAGCATATGTCAAAAACATAATAGATCACATGGCCTCAAAAAAACTGAAAATTCTGGTCACATCAAGCGCCATGGCAGAGAGAAAAAAATAAATAACAGCAGAAGGCATAGTACCAGCAAGGAGGGGCAGGGTTCAACCAACACGAAGATGAGTGTAGAATATAAGTGACTCCTGGCAGATGAAAGTAAATAAGGTGGGAAAGCTGGCAAGAGACCGAGTTTCTTTCAGGTAGCCATCGCGTTCTGCTACATGATGATGATGATAATCTCAAACATGCATCATCTTCATGTCTTTAAGCCTCTTCCCTCTCTTTACCCCACCCCCCTCTCAAATGGGAGAGATTTTATGCAGCTGATTGTGCAGCAGACTGACATGCACTTATTTCAACAGTGGTATGAGTGTCGACAATTCAGAGGCAATGGCAAACTACTGAATGTAAAACCTGCCTAGTGAAACCACAAACAGCCAACAGGTGTAACTTCTGATCTGCAATGTCCTGTAAGGATCTGCGAATAACTATGTGTGTGAATATGTGTGTACATAGCCTAAACTGCCAGAGGAGGGAAGCTTCAACAGGTACACAGAGCACTGCTCTTCTGCTCCCGCAGTGTGCTGCATTCCAAATATGTTGTCACTTTAAAGGATATGCAAATAACTGTATGTGTGTGAATATACGTGTTTAGATTTTATTACGTCCAGGCCCCTAAGCCTTAGCTGGCAAAGGAGGGAAGCACTGCTCTTCTGATCCGGCAGCGTGCTGTGCTCCGAATGTATTGGTGTCACCTTTGGAGTAAACAAAGTCGGTCAAGCGATGAATCATGCTGCATGAGCAGCACCATCTCCATCAAGACAAGGAATTTAACAAAAGATTGACTGGAGCTGCCGGTTGATCCAGTCTTAAAACTGATACCAGGAAAATGTTGTTAGAAGCAAAGGCAGGTGGAGCAATACTGACTACATCAGCCTCAAGTGCCTTCCGGTCTATATAAATATGCAGCGAGCACCATAAATTGAGAACACCTCAGAGCAAGTAAACAGAGGCCTCTTACTTTAGATTCATGCAGACCTGAAACAAAAGCAAATATACAGGTTATATAGTTGCTGACTTCCTAACACTCAATGAACAGCCCTGAGCCTCTGATATTTTGTTCTCAGAACACACTTAAATTCTTTTGAAACCACCAGACCTTTTTTGTGTGGGTATGGGTTTTTCCATGTTACTTACTCAGTCAATTCTCTTCTACCTTGAGGTGTAGATGTTTGCCAGACAGATCATCAGATTTCTCGGTTAGCAGTTTTCTTTTGATGTTTGTTCCATTCCAGTCCTCTGTCAGTCATGGACTGTCAGGATGTTGTCTTCCCAGCCAACCTGAGGCGAACCTTGTGGGATATGGGTCTTCTATGTTAAACTAATAACAGAATGCTTTCCCTGAAGTGGGCTTAAAAGACCCATTTTGTGGACACACACACACAACAACAAAAACCCACTGCAGCTTTAAAAGCATATCATAAAAGGTGAATAATCAAAAGATTTGCTAAAATCAGATGTGTTGGCCCCAAAGGGCCAGCCAGGGGCTAGCTGTAAACCTCAACACATCATGCCAACCACCCTTTCAAGGGCAAATGCAGAAGAAGAAGACATATCTTTAAAATACTGACAAATCAGTTATTCCTTTGAAGGAATGATAAGACAAAACTATAAGTATAGGGAACAGGGCAATGTAAAAGTTATCATTCAGCCAATGCTTGCTTCTACAGACCTGGATCATTTCATGATTCTGGCTGTTTTTTCTTACAAAATTAAAAGAAAAATGGATGACATATCCATGCCCTTCTCCCCTCATCCTGGGGTAGCAGATGACGACATATTAACCATTCAACCATCTTGGACAAGCGTTTAAAAAAACAACACTAGGAGAATAAATGTCCATAGTAGAAGTATTTCCCCCCCTCCAACTTTTCACCAACACAGCACACAAACTCAACCAACTCACATCAAGGTCACACCCTCAACCAACTCACATCAAGGTCACACCCTCAACCAACTCAAGGTCATACCCTCAACCAACTCACATCAAGGTCATACTATCCTTTTGTCATCACATGGAAATCAAAAGATTAACAAAACGGCTGGCCAAATATACCTTCTTCAGACCAATTTTCCCAAATTTAGAAAAGCTCCCCATAAAAATAATATATACAGCATATGTGATTTTTGTCTATATATACATCTAGATTCTCGCTGGTATTACAGAGTTTGTGTACTGTGCTGAAAGTCTCCTTGTGTGAGCCATGGCATGAAAGTGGAACATTTATAACAAAAAAATGTGAACACAACACTTTGCACAACTGATTACCAGGCAAATCTCTGTATATCTCAACATATAATGAAAGAAAAAATGAATCCTTTCTGCTGAAATACACAAATCAGTCATTGACATGCTGTGATTTTGTACTTCAGCAAAAAGGATTCATACCTTTTTACGTTTCACACGTTTCATCATATGCTGATTTTGCTCAGTGATAGATCTATAATTGTATAGACCAATAAGCATTCGATGGGCAAGGAGACCAACATCCCGCCAGCTACCTTTACTTTTATGACATTTCCTGGCATCTATTTTAGGCTGAGTTGACCTGGGAACCAAGGTCAGTTATCAAAATCCCATCTGAGTACAGACAAATTTAAGAAGGAGACTACACTGGAGGTAAATATATGTAAAAAAATGTTTTTATCTGTCCCCAAGAGCTCTGGTACACAGGTTATCCACAGGCTAGAGATAAAATGCAGTGAGTGATGTTCAAACTCACCAGAATCCACACAAAAAGCTATGAACAGCTGGTGACACAAAGTGCCGCCATTCGGATGAGAATCCCCCCCGGGCATAAGTTCCATAAACCCTGTTGAACTGTTAGGTTATATTAGGGCCCCCGACGACAGCAGGGTGGAGCTTTAAACTAATTTAAAAAATTTTGTCTCATATTAGGACAGAGTTAAAAATAGAGGGAACAGGATTCAAAGGTCACTGAAATTTTCAAAAATTGCTAGAAATTCTCAGGACAAAATTATCACTTGTACGATGGAACGGGCCAATTATTTTTAAAAACGAACAGCACTCAAGCGTACACATGAACTCTCATCATGTACACAAAAATGAATCCAAGGTCATTAAAAACTGATGGCCAATTTCCCCTTTCTCAGCTTCATCCGGTTTCTGTTGATGTCATAGCCGAATATTTGGAGAAGGAAGGGTAGTCTTTCTTCGACAGAGGCCTGTAATGAAGAGTTAGGTCCCCTGTCTGTTTCCAGATAAAATGGCGGACAGTCCTCAAGTCCATATTTGGATCCAAAACCTGGAGGCAAATACATTGCAAAAAAGTTGATGATTAACCATCTCCAGACAACATCCAAACATGTAACAAAAGAAACAGTGATACAACACACCCCGAGGAGAAGTGAACAGGGAGTCACTAAGCATGTGCTCAAATGAGAAACAAATGGACTGACATTGCTAGGTCTTCGAAAAAAAACCTAAGACCAAAGTGGATGACAGAGACCAACAGTGCTGGACTGGATACCACCTCTTGGGTTGCCGAAGCTGGTACTTTAAAAAAAAACTGGGTACAAACTGACCCTTACCCAGCAAAACTGCACCTTTGGTACCACGACCAATGTTTTGGTACGTTTTATCTCTGCTTAACAATATTAGGATTGAAAAAACTGCTCTTCTTTGAAGACTTCGACAATAAATACACTGACGAGGTAAAAGTTACGGCTTCAGGACATCAACTGCCTCAGCTGGAAGCCACTACAACAGCTTTGTAACAAACTGAGCGGGAAAGAAAAATGGTACAGCAATGACATTAATGGACACAGTATTTCAATTCTGATCAAACGTAAGCCACACCAGTTATATGTGTGGATGTATAATGTGTTGTTAATAAATTACTAGTCTGATACCTTTTGGTGTATTTTGGTATCTTTTTAATAAAACACATTTGGTACTATTTCCTAAAAAAATGTTGGCCACCCTGTTCCACCCGTAATATTAAAATTATTGCACAAAATAGAAGTGAACGGAAGAATAGACAGCAAGCTCTAGGTGATGCATAACGGCAGAAGATGATGAAGACGATAACATATTAAAGCTGATGGTAACAGTGTAGATATAAAATCAAGTTTACAACTGTCTGTCTGCACCTTTCCGTCTTTTCATATGACAGTGTCAGACTGTGCTACAGGAAGACATAAAAATCACAGACCATGGTGATGGTGAGTGTGACTAGCAAGACCTGCGCATGTTAGATGCCTTCTACAATCAGAACATGGGATTTCAGGACCGCTGCCACCATCACATGTAATTAATATGCTTGTTCTCACACAATCAGCTCATAACCTTTCTCAAATAATTTTCTCTTTTATTCCCATTCCCTTCCTGACTTCCCCCACTCCATCTGGCACGGTCCATGGCATTTTTTTGTTTCCATTTGTCTAACTTAAAAACTGTATCATTCATGTTCTGTCTGCACACATCTTTATATCACTGACGAGGCCAATCTCCACATGTACACATCTGTATTCACCATTGAGCTCCACATGTACACATCTGTATTCACCATTGAGCTCCACATGTACACATCTGTATTCACCATTGAGCTCCACATGTACACATCTGTATTCACCATTGAGCTCCACATGTACACATCTGTATTCACCATTGAGCTCCACATGTACACATCTGTATTCACCGTTGAGCTCCACATGTACACATCTGTATTCACCACTGAGCTCCACATGTACACATCTTATTCACCATTGAGCTCCACATGTACACATCTGTATTCACCACTGAGCTCCACATGTACACATCTTATTCACCATTGAGCTCCACATGTACACATCTGTATTCACCACTGAGCTCCACATGTACACATCTTATTCACCATTGAGCTCCACATGTACACATCTGTATTCACCACTGAGCTCCACATGTACACATCTTATTCACCATTGAGCTCCACATGTACACATCTGTATTCACCACTGAGCTCCACATGTACACATCTGTATTCACCGTTGAGCTCCACATGTACACATCTGTATTCACCATTGAGCTCCACATGTACACATCTGTATTCACCATAGAGGATATCATTAGTGCCTCTACCATCTTCTATTCTGCAAGTCTGACCTCATCAAATGAGCCTTTGAAGACTCAGCAGACGCCTGCTCTTTCCAGTACCTCAAGATTTGTGATCTTGTTGTGCCACCTACAGTGCATGTCGCTTGAGGCAATTTTGAACTTGGCTAATTTCTGTTGGGAAAAACAGTTGGTTTATTCCCGGCAAATTTGTTCTTGCCTGAACTCTCATCTGAATAAGAGGAATTTCTGATCAGAAGAACCATTTCTAGGGTCCCCGGTGATTTCTATCAGGTGTGCACTGCAGACATTACTTCAACTGATGACTTTCAAAGCTGTTGTTACTGTAACTAATAAATGTTTGGATTTGAGAAGCTGTAACAACACTATGGGACAAAAGGAATTAAAATAAGAATTGGGCTTGAAACTGTTAGTATAAGATGATAGTGTACTAGAAGTATATCATGTCTATAGACAACAACAAAACATACAGAGTTGCTGGGCCTTTAATAAGTTAAATATAGTACATTTGCATTCAGTTGGCCTGAGCTCTGAAAAGGTTTGCATTTATAGGATTGAGGTTGGCTATCTCTTCTTGGGCACTACTTGCAAAAGCAGTTTATAATTTAAAAAAAAATAATTAAAAAAAAGGGTACATAAAATGCCTTTTGCATTACTAGGGTGACATAAGGAAACACAATCAACATGTTATATTAGAATAGTGTAACCAATAGGACTGAACATGGTATCTGGTATCTCCCCTGTGGGCTTGCATCCAGATGGAGATTGTGTAATCTCAGGATGGTCAAACATTCAGGTAGCAGCCGGAGAGGAAGAAGATGGAGGGAAGGGAAGCAAAGAATAGTAACATCTCAAATGACCACGCATGTCATCTTCTTCTTTGTGTTCACAGGCTATAAACTCTGACAGAAATTTCTAGTTGTTCATCCACTTCTGGACTTTGGTCTTGTTCCAGTTCTATGTCTGCATCTATTTTACAGAATCTGGCTTATCCGTATGCAGGTTGTTAGTTCCTTGCCTCTCAGGCAGATGTGCTTTGAAGTAAACCCCAAATTAGTCAACTCTTATAACAGGGCTATTAAACTAGCGGCCTGCGGGCTAGATGTGGAGACCCAGCAAGTGGCCCTGCAGATCATTGCCAATTGTATTAATGATCTGTCTATGCTTGGGCTCATGACTGTTTCCTGTGACGATCCACACTTGAAAAGATTTGGCCCCTGAGTAAACTTAGTTGGATAGCCCTGTCTTATAACATGTTTGTTAAGGGGGCAGTGTCTATTCACCCCCCCACCCCCCCACCCCCACACACATACACACAATGGGGCCCTAGAAACCACAAGGGGAATGCATGTCGTAACAACACACACTTACAATGGGGCCCTGGAAACCACATGGGGAACACATGTCCTAAGAGTTGACTAAAGAACGGTGGATGTGGACCGCCTACATTATCTCACAGAATACAAGAGGCCCAATCCAACCAGCCTTGAACAAGTGAAAAGATATGAGAGCTTGGAGTGATTTGGTTAAGGACTTTTGCTGCAGCGGTGGGAAAAGATTGAAATAAAAAACATCGACTTCACTGCACCAGATTTGAACCCTAATGGCCTGGCCTCTTTGCAGAATGGCTAGCTGCCTGCTGAAAGCACCAATCAAAGCTCCACAAACAATCCCACAGGAATCTCAGTACAAACCGCACCCATGAACTGAACAAAACAGTCTATGAAACGAACCCATTACCTTCAGAACACTAGCTAATGGCTTAACCACTTAGCCAGCCAGCGACGGAGATCCCATCGATGAGATAACAAAAAAAAAACAAAAAAAAACAAAAACAAGAAGAAGAATGCCAACATATTCTTCTTTCTTTGTGTTCACCGGCTGTCAACTCCGGCGGAAAGTTCTGGTTGTTCATCCACTTCTGAACTGCAGTCCTGTTCCAGTACCTGAGTGTTGCGTGTGCATCCGTTTTACAGATCTGACTCATTTGTATGCAGACTGCTGGTTCCTTGCCTCTCAAAGCAGATGCTCTCTGATTTCGAAGGAAGCTCCCAATTAGTCAACTCTTACGAAATGCTTTTGGATAAGCAGCGGGTCTATTCTTGTTTTCCCTCTAATAGGGCCCCGTAACCCACACAGGAAAACTCAACATATTTAAAGAAGCCTAAAAATATTGTTTCAAAAGGAAAGTTGTGTTTCGAGATCAATTAGACCAAGAGATGACAAGTAAACAAACTGTGCTGTATTTGAACCACGCTGAACACATGGCCCATTGAGCGCCTGTTAGCCTATTAACCCTACTGCCCCGAGAAGGCTAAATCTAGTCGCTTGCGGTTGTGAGACAGTTGATATATTGCCATTTCATCAGTGACCTCTTCTCGAAAAGCACAGTTAAATGTCAAGGGTTTTGTGTGTGCCTGCGCAGTGTTCAGGAGGCTTGGATGTGAATAAATTACCTAAATATAGCATTTAAAGATGTTTCCTTATAAATCCAACGGCCTTTTTAATAGCCAAGATGACTTAACATTTTCCTGTAAGCCTCAGTGATAGAGGTCTCAGGATTATGGTATGATTAACTCGATACCTATTTGTTTTAGGCTCAGGGTAATACATTCCATTTAATTCTTCACAGGGTAATGCTTTTTATTTAATGCTTCACAGTGTAATGCATTCCATTTAATGCTCACAGTGTAATGCATTCCATTTAATGCTCACAGGGTAATGCATTCCATTTAATGCTCACAGTGTAATGCATTCCATTTAATGCTCACAGGGTAATGCATTCCATTTAATGCTCACAGGGTAATGCATTCTATTTAATGCTTCACTCTGTTCCAATTTTATGACTCTCTTGATATTCCTTTATATATTTCACAAATATTTTTTTCAAAACACTGTAGATAAATAAATTTGTACACAATTTATTAATAACCTGTGTAAAATAGTTATTGTGAAGAAATTTTTTTTCTTTAAATTTCCACAGGTCCATGATCGATATTTTTTTTTAGCATTCACGGTGTGAGAGGGTTAAATTAGTCAGAACCATATGCCTATCATATATTGAGGTGTGGAAACAGGTCCTTTATACAGACTATAAATGAATAAATTGGCAACTGAAACTGTCATGAATTCTCAACATGCAGGAGATTAACAATGTTCATTACCACATCATTACACAGAAGCTCCACCCTTTCTTCAGCTGCACATGATGATGGCTCCTCCTCTTTCTCAGCCTCTTTCTCATGACTGTTAGCTGCCTGTGACCCTGCATCCGAACCTTGACCCAAAACCTTCTCGTACACATGCTCTATGACCTTTCTGACATTTATCATATCACTTGCAGACAAGCGGTCTCTGAAACAGACAGACATAAATGGTGTTGAAATGGCTAAAACATAAGACTGACAACATTTATCGGAGGTGAACAGAAAAAAAAAAACTGGAGCCTCACAGCAACTGTTGTAGGACAAGTGACCCTGAATGATATTCAACCCCAAAAAGACCGCACAACGAGCAATAAACACCCGGAGACACAAAGTGCAACCAGTCAGATGAGAATCACCCAGGCACAAGTCCCAGAAACACTGTTTAACAATCAGGTCATGTTTAGGGTACCTGACAACAGCCGGCATGGGACTTTAAAATAACAAACAAACAAAGTGTCCCATATTAGGGTTGATTACAGTACAAAGTGACCTTCAACACTTAGTCTTTGTAAAGCACTCAGCATTCACAACCATACAGCAGTGACACACATTCTAAAATAATAGATCTCATAAGCCATTCAGAAGTTCAAATTCAGGAGGCAAGATACTGCAGTTGCCAATCACTAAGAAGATCAATCTTCTCAGGATCCCATAACAGGAAACTTGGACAATCAACACAAAAGACCTTCACCCGAAAAGAAATTAAAACATGGACACCTATCATAACCAGAACAAAGGAGGTAAATCCAACAAGAGGAACAGGCAAGTCAGAACCAAAATGGGACCCACACATGTAGAGATGGACAATATACTCGGACAGGGACACTAAAGCGTCAACAAGGCGTCAACAAATATCAGCCAATAAATTTGGCACAAATAAAGCAGACCATAAATATAACTAAACAATGCTCACAGCGAAAGCTGTTTGCAGCAAGCTGAATGTGGTCGACTTTTTATTTTTCCATACAACCTACATACCAGCACCTACACACCAACCCCTACATACCAACCCCTACACACCAGCACCTACACACCAACCCCTAAATACCAGCACCTACATACCAACCCCTACACACCAGCATCTACACACCAACCCCTAAATACCAGCACCTACATACCAACCCCTACACACCAGCACCTACACACCAACCCCTACACACCAGCACCTACACACCAACCCCTACACACCAGCACCTACACACCAACCCCTAAATACCAGCACCTACATACCAACCCCTACACACCAGCATCTACACACCAACCCCTAAATACCAGCACCTACATACCAGCACCTACACACCAGCATCTACACACCAACCCCTAAATACCAGCACCTACATACCAGCATCTACACACCAACACCTACACACCAGCATCTACACACCAGCATCTACACACCAGTATCAGCACAACACATACCAAGGCTAGCACCCGATGCCTCTTCAAAACCTATCACTAAAAGGCAAAATAGAACAAGAGAAGAAGAAAAAGTAGACTTTACAAGACATCAAGCACTTGCAATTTTCTTTAACAGTGCAGACCACTTTTATCCCCAAAACTATTTCCTGGCACCATTTTTTTACCAGGCTCAACTGACCCAGAGGTCATGTGACAGGAAAACATCCACCACAGCGATCATTATCCATACAAAACATGTCTTCTTAGTAATAAGGCACATTAAGGTCCATACAATTTTAAGGCAGTCTACACATTAGTTTTTGTTCCAGAGAAACTTTCCAAACAATTTTATACAGCATCACCACTTGGCCCAAAAAGTGACTTTCAAAAACATTTAATATCTACACACACAAAAAAAAAACTTCATAAGAAAATTTCAGTGCCCGTAATTGTGCAGCTATATTCTTAAAAGATGGGAACATACTGCAAATAAAATACTGTGTAAAAGAGACCAATATTGCAATTCTCTCTCATATTAAACACCTCTGAATTACGCTTATGTTTATTTAAATTAAACAATTTTTTTAAAGAAGTGACTGCGCAGCATAGACCAATGCCACAGTTTCTGAAACCGTCCATGACACAGAAAATAAGCAATGAGATTTAGTTACAACTAGTGAGAGTAATGAAAAAAGAAGCAGAGAGAACAGACACAGTCACTTGTCAGCAAATAAATCACAGTACATCCTTAGAGAGAAATACAAAAACTCACTTTTTTACTGGCTTTATCCCAGTACTTGGGTGAGGTTGTAAGAAAAAGGGCAATTTGTTCAGTTTTGGCAGTTCTTTCTGAAAACCAAAACACATAGGTTAAAAAACGTAAAAAACAGTAATAATGTGATAACACAAACACAAAAACAATCTTCACAAATATACTTACATTAAACCCGAGTAACAAGTACTCACAAACATAATGACATCTAAAACCCGGGACAAAAATACCCACAAACAGCCAACACCCTGGACGAAAAAAGTACTCATAAACACAATGACATCCAGCACATAGCACAGAAGTACTCAAAAACATAATGACATCCAGCACACAACATAAAAGTACTCACAAACACAATGACATTCAGCACACAACATAAAAGTACTCACAAACACAATGACATTCAGCACACAACATAAAAGTACTCACAAACACAATGACATTCAGCACATAACATAAAAGTACTCACAAACATAATGAAATCCAGCACTCAACATAAAAGTACTCACAAACATTAATGAAATCCAGCACACAACATAAAAGTACTCACAAACATAATGACATCCAGCACTTTGGACAAAAGTACTCACAAACATAATGACATCCAGCACCTTGGACAAAAGTACTCACAAACATAATGACATCCAGCACCTTGGACAAAAGTACTCACAAACATAATGACATCAAGCACCTTGGACAAAAGTAGTCACAAACATAATGACATCCAGCACCTTGGACAAAAGTACTCACAAACATAATGACATCCAGCACCTTGGACAAAAGTACTCACAAACATAATGACATCGAGCACCTTGGACAAAAGTACTCACAAACACAATGACATCCAGCATGCAACATAAAAGTACTCACAAACATAATGAAATCCAGCACACATTATAAAAGTAATCACAAACACAATGACATTCAGCACACAACATAAAAGTACTCACAAACATAATAACATCCAGCAGCTTGGACAAAAGTACTCACAAACACAATGACATCCAGCACACAACATAAAAATACTCACAAACATAATAACATCCAGCACCTTGGACAAAAGTACTCCCAAACACAATGACATTCAGCACACAACAAAAAGTACTCACAAACATAATAACATCCAGCACACAACATTCAAGTACTCACAAACACAATGACATCTAGCACCCAGGGAGGCACTGTCTCCTTCAAGAGCATCTGCTCTGTTTCTCCACCTGCATCCCTTGCTAGAAGCCTGAACAGTGTTCGCCCTCCTACCTCACTGAAATGAGAGGTCACCTCTTATTACCCAACAACCAAAATAACATCAACTGTGTGTTGCTTGCAGCTTTTTTCCTGGCCTAGCATTTATTTATTTCAGCCTGACATCAGGCATGATAAGTGTCAGATGTTTTAGTGGCTAGAAAAAGTAAGATGTGATTTATATTGAAGATGCACCAGCTAAGTGATTTTTGTGTATTCTTGTTCGCATCTATTGTTCTGCATATTCATATAATGTGCTGACAAAGACTCTATAGCCAAAATGTTCACTTGTAGTTTGTGTTTGTGATATTGTGAAGTTGACTGTTTTACTTTTCATCTGGTTTGATATCCTTTCATGCTAATGTAACAAACAGAGAATAATCAATGTGCTATAAAACCATCTTCTTATCTAGTCAACTAAGCTCTATATCAACTTGAAATGCATCCCAACACATTCAGCAATCTGTAAGACTTGTCTCAACAGATAAAACTTCACTGTCGAGCAAGCACAAACAGAGGTTTCTGGTCATCACGAGAGGTCTCCCCTTTTACATGTTTTTTTGTGTCTTTTTATCTTTATCATACTGTCTAAAGTTTCTTGGTTTGTTACTTGAAGTCGTTTAGTGTTTGAGATTGTATCTGGCCAGAAAATTTTGATAATTCTACCTAGACATGTGTGGTGGACAGTATGATTACCAAGAGAAGATGGAAATGGCTTGGCCACGTTATGAGAATGAATCCTGATATAGCCGCCAAAACAGCTCTCACATGGACACCAGAGGGAAAGAGAAAACAGGGGCGCCCAAAAACAACATGGAGAGGAACGATGGAAAGTGACCTGGGTGTGGCATCTTTGACATGGAAAACTGCACTGAAGATTGCGCAGGACAGGAAAGCATGGAAAGTCCTCTCCGAAGCCTCATGTGCCACTAGGCATAAAACGAGAACTGATGATTTTTGTCTTTGTTTTATTCGTATACCTGTGTCATGACTCCCTGGTGGCTTTCTTGTATACCCATACGCTGCTGGACCTACATACCAACTAGAGCAACCTGGGAGCACTAGGATAATTATAAAAAATTTTACTCAATGAAGAGTAAAATCTAGGATATTTGGACTGAAAGGCGGTATCAAGCCACTGCATATTGCAGCTCTTAACTATTAACTCTTTCAGCTGCAAGGATCCTCCACTCATTACACCCAGAGTTGACTTTTCCGCAATTCTTACTCTGAACAAAGTCTTATTTCTAGGGCACATTTTCTCTTCATTAAATAGGTGTATTTCTGCATCGCTGTCCAATCATTTCTCTACTCCATTGATCCCTATTAACTCTTTCCATCCTAAGCAACACACCATGTGTGTTCAGCTGTTTCCCTAATGTCTCCACAGATGCAGGGTGTGTTACACCTTGTACTAGATTCATCAAGAAACAGCAGATCAGTTGGTTCGGCCACTTTCTTAGAATGCAGCAACATCAGATACCATCACAGGCACTTCACATCAGAAGATCAGCTACAAGAGCAAGAGGAGAGCCATATAAACGATGGACTGACATTTACATTTTGTTTACATTTTAACCGAGCACACTACAGAAGCTGGACCAGATACTGTAAACATGTAAATGCTGCATCTTTGGGAGTAACAGATCCCTGCTCTTTCATTATGGGTACAAATGCCATTGGCATCTCTCTTCTGATGTTGAAATAGCTCAACTTTAGGATGTCCTCGATTCCTCAGTCTGTTTACTTTCCATTTCAGTGCCTGTTTAATGATTCTCTGCTCTTTTATCCTCAGGATGTATCCAAAATAACTGCATCTTTTCTGTCTTATAACTGTTGATACTAGATGTTACCCAGCCATTTCTCTTATTTCTTCACTCCTCTTGAATTCATCACCTTTTACATTCAACATTTCTCTCACACATGTGTTTTTGAATGCATTTAACTTGTGTTCCATGTGTTTAGTAATTCTCCAGCTTTCCCTAGCATTTGTTGTTGTTCTCTTTGCTCTCCCTCCCACTCTTCCTCCTCCTGGGGTGTCTGATTTTCCTATTTATTTCAAATTCATTTGAATAGCATTTGTTAAAACTAAAGTAACAATACAAGTGAAAACACATAACTTTGTTTTAAAATTATACAACTTAGAGTTCCATATTTTGTTCAGGCTTTTAAAAATTGCAGATGACTTGCCAATGCAGGTCTTAACCAGGATTTAAAAGTAAAAGTAAAGTAAAGATCCCTTTTCACGCCTTTAGGCGCATCGGGCATATGGGAAGAGCACCCATATTTTTACAGACCAATCGGCACTCGGTGGGTAATGTGGTCAGCATTAAGCCTGCTGTCTTCAATTCCCCAGGACAGCCATCCTGGTACCCACTTGAGGCTGGGTTGACCTGCAACGTCCCATACCACAATAAAAATCCACGCAGCCCGCAGTGGGTTTCGATCGCAGTACTTTGGATTACGAGTCGGACTCGCAACGCCTTAGCCACGGACGCCGCCCTAACCAGGATTTAACCAGGTCATAATTCAGAACTACAAACATGGTCTGGCTGAGACAAGGCCTCGGTTGGTGATGATTCATAGACTTGACATGTACCAATGTAACAGACCCTAAATACCCAGAGACAAAAAGATTTAATTTGAAACAGAGCAACAAATAATGTTATGCCATAAACAATAACTGACACAGTAAGACCACAAATATCAAAGTTCCTATACCTGAATATCACAGGTGTATGTCCTGGAACTGTAAAATGTGGCTGCACAGGCGGCTTTTCGATTTCTTGATCTGAAGATTTAGAAAAGAAAACAGTGGTTAGATCAAAAAGTTAAGCATCTAATGTGACACTCAATTTGGTTTGTTTAACTTGCATTGCAAATAAAAAAGAGATTTGAAAATAAAAAGATCAAAAATGTGCTAATATCGTCAACATCATCATGACAAATCAATTTTGCAGTTAAGCGCCATGAGGAGGACAAATTTGTGATCCAGATCATGCTGGCTAGCATTAGCTATTGTCATGAGGTGAGGTCATAAAGTGTCTATAATGTTATCAATCTATATTTTTATGGCCGTCCTCTTACTCTTGTAGCTGATCTTCTGAGATGTAGTGCCTGTGATAGTCTACTATTTCTTGATTAATCTAGTACAAGGTGTCGTTCCCACAATCTGTCTGCCAGTTTCATTATTTCCCTGATCTCGGATGATTAGGTCAGTGGCTTTTCTCAGGCATCTCATCTCGCAAGTGGTGATTTTGCATACACAGTCTCTGGCACTGGTAACTCACAGCTGAAATGAATATGCTGTTTATAATCTGTCTCTTTGTACTCGTAGTTATGCTCAGATGTCTTAATAATGGTGACAATTGGTATATAAGTGCACTTGCTCTCTGAAATCTGGTTTCTATTTCTCTGTCAATGCAATGTGCTGACAGTTATGAAACTCTCCTCTTCTGTCCCTTATCCTCCAGGCTTTCAACCTGTTCAAGACCGGCTGGATTCTGTGGTTTAATTTTCTACATAAAGCAGCAGCCACCCCTACACAGACTTTCCTTAGTGGCATCAAAGGAGAAATTTGGTAGTTTAAAGGGGTTCTAGCCTTCTGTTTCCATAAAATCCCCAAGTAGTACACAAGAAATATAAAGAATATGTGGACCATACTCCCCCAGTGGACACACCCCCCCCCCCCCCTCTTTTTCAAGCGTGTCATAAGAGGTAACAATCCAGAAATGTTTCCTTCAAAGTCAAAGTGCATCTGTCTAAGAGATGGGGAACCAACAGTCTGCATACAAATAATCCAGATCTGTAAAACAACTGCGCATATCTGAAAGTACCAAACTGTGAAATGCACTAGGTCATCACCAAAAAAAAAAAAAATTACAATCAATAGAAAATAAAATAAAATATATGGATGTCTTGGTCGTAAACATGACATTCTGCAAACTGTATCATCATACATTACCTTGAACATCCTCCGGATGGGATCTCGGCCAATGGTCCAATAAAGCCTGAAGTAATGTGGTACCAATGTTGGCTTCATGAAAGGCAGAGTGAGTGAAATATAAGATGACAGTGAAACAACATTTTCATCATTTCAGCAATCAATAGCTTTACTTATTACATCAGCCTGACAATACATCATGATCTTCAAACCCAGGCCATACACTCTTGAGGGAATCAATCCAATTACGATGGTCTGGACATGTATGCAAAATAAGAGACCAAGAACCAGGGCAATCCAAGGTCCTTTGGAAAGACATTTGATATTTCCTGTTGAAAGAGGACAGGAATGGAACAAAGTCAGAAAGAAAACCGCTGACAGAGAAGTCTGTTGATCTCTCTGGCAAACCTCCACACCTCAAGGTAGAAGAGAAGCGACTATGTAAGAAGTAACAACAACTTTAGCAGCATATAATATAGTGAAAGCAGAGACATACAAAGCTAAGACAACTACAACAGAAAATAGTAGCTGTTTACCCCCTTTACCAAATCCGGCCAGGATCCCATTAAGGTTGCTTGCTGTTCATCTGATACTGAGAGATATTTTCCCAAGATAAAACATGACTATAACTGTTCCTTTAGTGCTGTGATATTTTCCTCACATAAGTCACTCTTACAACTACTCATATGGAACTGAGGTATTTCTTTCACCCCCCAAAAAATTGGACTACAGCCCTTCATCTGACCACAGATGCATCTTCCAGACATACACAATAAGTACAGTTGTTTCTCTACATATTATCTACAAATGTATCAGGACTTTAAAAGATCATTTGACACTAAGATACTTCTCTTACATAAAAAAGGACTACAGCTGTAGAAGAACTCAAGTATTTTCCCCTTATATATCAGGATTATACACGATCATCTCACGCTGAGGTATTTGCTTTTACCAAAATGCATCAGGACGTGTGGTTAAGAGGTTAGTAAAATAATTTTGCAATGCAGTACTCAATGTTTACCAGGGTTCAGTCCCTGTTGTGAGCTATTTAGAAGAAAACTGCTCTGGATGGCTTTCAGACAGTGGTACGAGAGTTGCACCATGGAAGAGACTAGAGCCTGACCACAAAGTATTGTCATAGCTACTTGTGTGTCCATGGACTGTGTTGCATGGAGTAGGCACATCAAGAAGGGAATATGAACGAAGGAAGAAATGATTGCAGAAAGGAGCCTCTGAGAAGAAACACAATACAAATGATGGTAGCCACAGTCCTCAAATCAATTCCTGTCTTTGTAGAAAACTTTTCTTAACGTGGGCGGGTCTTGCTAGTCACATTCACCATCGACTGTGAGTCCCACGATATAACACAATCATCTGCAAAGACAGAAAAGTGCTAACGGAAGGCAGTGTATACATTCCAGCCGACCCCCACTGTACAGAGGGCACCATTTTTATAATTTCATATTAGGATTTTAACAGACCATCTAGCAATGAGGTATTTTTCGGTAGATGCAACATGTCAAGTTAAAAATACAAAAAAAAGTAAAGGATTCTTTTCCACACCTTCACTCATATCATGCTAGAATCATATTTTATTGACCAAATGACACTCGCTAGGTGATGAGGTCAACATCGTGCCACCTGAATTTACTTCCCAGGACTTCATCTGATACCCACTCAAGGCTGGGTCAACCCGACAGCCAAGGTCATTTAAAAAAAAAAAAAAAAAAACCACTTGTTTCATTCGGACTCGAACCCACGACTTTTGGATCCACAGGCCAGCGTCTAGCCACTACAACACGGCAATGCAGCATGACTACAGCTATTTACCTGACACTGAGGTAGATTCACTCAACCTTGTTGGTGTGTACAGCAACATTCTTTCATGATGCCCAGACACAGGCATCATATGTAACCTGCAGCACCAATATACTTCCTTTGGTAAATGCCAATTAATGTCTATACATTCACTGTCCATTGTTGTTGTTCTTCTTCTTCGAGTTTACCGGCTGTAAACTCTGGCAGGAAGTCAACTATTTGTTTGTCCACCTCTGTACTTTAGTCTTGTTTCAAAACCTGGGTGTTGCGTGTACATCAGTTTAACAGACCTGATTTAATTGTATGCAGACTGTTGGTTCCTTGCCTCTCAGGCAAATGCACTCCGACTTTGAAGGAACATACAATTAGTCGACTCTCATGACATGTTTACTGGGGAGGCAGCAAGTCTATTCTTGTTTTCCCCACAATTGTATCCCGGGGGAGGGGCCCATTGTTAAAGATGGTGACGTGGCCACTGTCATCTACCACAACAAATTGATTCTGCTGGTTATTAACTAGCATGAAGTAATTTTCTGTGGTTTTGCTGCCTGCAGGATCCTTGCTGATGCTACGGAGCTACATGCACTGTACTGCGATCCTCCTGTGAAAGCATCAAATGTCCATAAATTCATTAACTAGGGGGACACTTACTTTTTGTTTCCGGGGCATCTGGCGGCAACTCCAGGCCCAAGTCTTTCATGGACATCCAGGCAGCAAAACAATCTGTTTCTTCTAAATGAATTGTGAGAAGCTGTTGAAATAAAGTTATTCTTGCATCATGTTTCACCTTAGTGTTATTTTAAACAATAAGTTTAACAATCAAGGAAATAACCAAGATTCCTGCAAATTAATCATATCAATTATTAGTTGATGAAGTAATAATGATTATGATGAAGATGACAAACAAAATAAAAATGACAATAATAATAATTAACATCCATAATAATAATCCATAAAAAGTATGTAAATCCCATATTGATATATGGATGTGAATCTTGGACAATTAGTAAATTAGTGAAAACTAATTTGGAAGCTGCAGAGATGTGGTTTTATAGAGGAATGATAAGAATATCCTCGACAGATAAAAAGAGTAAGAAGATGTCTTGAAAGAAACTGGCTCACAAAAGAACTAATTGCCCACATCAGAAAGAGGCAATCTACATTCCTTGGTCATGTGATGAGAAGGAGCAAACTGGAGTACATCGTGGCGGTAGGAAAGTTGGAGGGGAGGAGAGGCAAAGGGAGACCAAGAGAATAGAAGCTGGACCGTTTGACATCATAGCATGGAGGATCATCTGTATCAGAGTTGACTGAAAGTACACAAGACAGAAGGTTGTGGATAGACAAGACTACCAAAACCACACAACATGGACTTTAAGAAGAAGAAGAAAATAATAATAACCATGCTAACACCCGCTCCCTCTTCCACAACAACAACAACAAAATAACTTTGTAACAATGACTGCAAAACGAAACAAATGGATAAAGTTACTGTTGTGAGCTACACACAAAAAAACTTACGCCAGTTTTCAGATCCACTGAGAACCAGTTAGGAACAAACACCATCTTGAAATGTTTCTTCACAATTTCATCAAAGTCTGCTTTTTGATAGTCTTGAACTTTTCTGGCCTAAGCACAGGAAAACATACAGGAATTAATGAGATTAACTGATCAAAAGAAAACAAAAGGCAAAGTAATTATGGCATGTTGCAGACAACAGACGACGACACTGTAAATGCTGACCATAGTTAACCCTTTCTCCTCGGAATGTTTCTAACCCAGCATGTCCTCCATTACAATCCCAGTGAATGCCGCTTAACCGGCACTGCTAGAGTGACTTGCCCTGAGAAGCTTAAAAAACATCAGTTGTTCTGTTTGCACCTGCTTTGGAGGCCGGTATATGATTTCATATATGGGTGGCTTTCTTGAGGAAACATATGGCCTTTTAAGCACATTATGTCATGATAGCTCACCCAGACATAATAGTCACACAGACCTACTACTCTCCTAAAAAGCATGTTATAAGAGACGACTAATTAGGGATTTGCTAAATTTTGATGTGGATCATAATCTGTTTAAATCACCACCGATCACTGGCATCATGAGAGCTCACAGACTGAAATTGGCAGGGCATATTGAGAGAATGTCAGATGACAGAGAGGTAAAAACTGTGTACACAAGGGAGTTGAATTGTCGTAGACTACGAGGAGAGATAACACCCAGGTAGATCTGCGAACACCTGGGGTCAACAACGGGAAAGAGGGGACCAATCACAGAGAATGAATGAAGGAAGGTGATATATGCAGCAATAAACCTCACAGGCTTGGTATGCTGACAAAAAAAAAAAAAAAAAAAAAGCAAATACTGCAGCCTAGCTGTAAACCACAATACAGCAGGCCAACCGCCTCTTTCAAGGTGAATGCAGAAGAAGTTACTTACCGTAAGAACATCCCAGAGAACCACATTATCATCGGTGTCTTTGGTCAGAATGTGTCTCTTGTCATTGAGGACATGGTACTGTCTGATGCTAGGATCTCCTGCAACAGAATTGTTTAACAAGTGAATGATCACATCAGTTTACAATGGCACCATGTTGTTTCTATCTCAGTGCTGTTGAAATATTCATTCTGAAAATTTCAATTTTTGTTGTTGTCTATTCCCAGCAGTTCAACATTGCAGAAATGTCCACTTTTAGGGATCCAATGCTGCATAAGTGTTTACTTTTAGGGGTCCAATGTTGCAGAATGTTTTGCTTTTAGGGATCTAATGTTGCAGAACTGTTTAATTTTAGGAGTCCAATGTTGCAGAACTGTTTACTTTTAGGAGTCCAATGTTGCAGAACTGTTTACTTTTATGAATCCAATGTTGCAAAATTGTCTAATCTTAGGAGTCCAATGCTTGATAAGTTGACTACTCTTAGCGGTCCAGTGTTGCCAAGTTGTCCACTTTTAGGAGCCTAAAGTTGTTGAACTGTTTACTCTTACGTACCAAATTATGCTGAGTTATTTACTCTTAGGAGTCCAGTTTTGCTGAGCCATCTACTTTTTGGAACCATCTACATTAGGAACCATCTACTCTTAGGAACAGCTCTATTAAGGGGTTGGTGTGACCTCAATGTCTTTTCCCTGTGTGGATTCCTGTGCCAAATGGGAAGGGTGGAGATAGATCCATTGCCCTCTAAAAAGCATGCTGTAAAGAGAGCTGTTCCAACAGTCTTGATACAGATAAACCAGATTTAAAAAAACAAAACAAAAAAAAACACGTACATGCAAAACTCCAGTTCTGGAACAAGATTAACCTTTTTGCCCTGAGGAGCTGAAAAATCAACACTTCTGACTGTGTCCCAATTCCCTGTAAATGTCCGTTTTCAGACTTGCCTATCATGAACTGTTTACGAGATGTATGGTTAACGCAACTGGCTGAGTTCATGTATGTGCAAATATTCAGAAGGTCAGGACATTAATAAATTAACTAGCAATAGCATTTATAGGGTTTTGCTTTGTGCTAAATAGTGTTTATTTTTTAAAACAAAGATGTCAGATTTTCTCATAAGTCTAAGTGGTAAATGTCACGGGGTCATGGCATGAGTCACCCAATACGTGTGTGTTGTTTAGGGGACATATTCAATTTAATGCTTCACCCCGTACAAGTCTACTGATTACTTATTTCATATATCTTTATATATTTCAAAAAATAATTTTCAAATATTGGTAAATACATCTGAAATGAATTTATTAGTGACCTGTGTAAAAATTGTTGTTTTTTCTTTTTTTTTTTAGGAATCTATGAGGTCTTGAACATTTTGTTAAAGAGTTCTTGGGCACAAGAGTTAAAAGTCCACAACTGGATGAACAACCAGAACCTTCTGCTGCAGTTTACAGCTGGTGAATGCGAATGAGAAGAGGCAGAAGAATATATCTGATCCACTGGGAGATGAAAGTCAGAAACAGGCCTTCAGTAACAAAGCCAAGAGAGATAACCATTGTGTACATCTTTCAACAGTCTCAGGGTTCATAGCCAAATTTACCAATCAATTTCTAGGCTTCTCAAGGTCTTTTTCAAGGTTGTCTTGGTGTAATACTGAAACAAGATTTTTGCCTTGTTCAAGGGTGTACTGAGCACATAATGTACTTCATTCGTGCCACATGTGTTGGTATACCAGCACAGATATCATCATCATCATGTAGCAGGTCCTTTGTCCTGAAAGAAACTGTGTCGCTCGCCAGCTCTCCCGTCTCATGTACTTTCATACTCAAGAAGTCACTTATATCCTGTGCCGACCTTCGTGTTGGTCGGTCCCCTGCCCTTCCTTCCTGGTACCATGCCTTCTGCTATTACTTTTTTTTAAGTCCGTCGTGGCACTTGATATAGTGTTTAAAAAAATGTTTTTGTAGACTTGGTGGTAGAGGGTAGCAAACTGAAGTCCTGTCTTTTCTGGCCCTGTTACCTGAAAGGGGAAAAGGGAAGGGGGGGGGGGGAGTCATACAGAGAGGGAGGAAGACACATGCTGAGGTAGACTGGGAAAGACAGTGTAAAGATGGACAGATGAAGGTAGAGGAAAGAAGGAAAGAGTCCTGGGAAGGAGGAAAAAAGATGACAAGGAAAACTAGAGAAAAACGAGAAGACAGGATGGAGAGGAAACAAGAAGAGATGGGACAGGAGGAAGAGCAAGAGAGAACAAGGTAAGGAAAGAAAGAGAGGAAGGATGGAGAGATAAAGGAGAAGAGTGGAAGATCAAAGGAAAGAGAAGTGGTGAGAGAAGAGAGGTAAGACATGGTGGGAGTTGGGGGGGGTAAGAACACTGAACGCCAAAAATAGAATTCGGAAAACTTAGTGAGGTCACTTTTCCGGTTCCCACCCTCTCCCAATGTGAATGTGGCCGTGGTCCATAAACAACAGTGCTAATCCCTACCGCCCCATGCTTGTCTGATCTGCATGTGACTACAATAGTTCTATTTCTTACACCCAAGGCTGATGACCTGGGAGCCAAGGTGGATCCCAACCCATCACTTGTGGAAAATAAAGCAGAATACCTCACACTCACACTCACTCACTCACCCACTCACACACACTCACTCACACACTCACTCACACTCACTCACTCTCACACTCTCACTCACTCACACACACACACACTCTCTCTCTCTCTCTCTCTCTATCTCACTCACTCACTCACTCACTCACTCTCGCACGCACGCACGCACGCACACACACACAGAGAGAGAGAGAGAGAGAGAGAGGTCAGGGCACCAGTGGACTTCATTTTATTTCTGATTTTCCAATTACAAAAAGGAGGGGGGAGTGGAGGTGGTGGAAAGTGGTGTAGAAGGCTGAGATGGTAAGGGTGAGACAGAGGAGGTGAGAAAAGTGAGAGAGAGAAAGAGAGAGAATAAAGATTAAGAAAAGAAAATGTGGGGGAATGAAAGAGTAAAAGGAAAGATAGAGGGAAAGAGAAGAAGATAAAGATCAGAGGCGAGGGTGAGAGACAATGCAGCAGACGGGAAGGAGGGAGCAAGAGGTAGAAGAGTGAAAGAGGAGAGAGGGAGTGAAAGTGAGAGAGAGAAAGAGGGTGAGAGAACAGAAGAGGGAAACTCGGGGAATTACAACACTGATCACCAAACACACTGTAAAGATAAACCAGGCCAAAAATAGAACATGGAAATCCAGCTGACATCACTTTGCTTAGCCCCACCATCTCCCAATGTAATCCTTTTTCTAGAAACCACGACCATAAAGCTATTTATACTATTAATACTGCCGGATTCTCTAGAAACAAAGGCACACAAGAAGCGGCTGCTTCTTCCTGCCACATGCCACGCCGCTGCTGTCTGTGTGTATTCATGGACTGCAACACAGCCTGCCCTTCCCTATCCTTTAACAAGCCATTTGAGCTGAAAATAGCCGATAATCAACTGCCCTCATACCTGAAACGACAGTAAACGAAAGTAGCCAAAACTAGCCAAATGGCCCAAAAAAAGTCTAACTGCCGAAAATTGCCAGACTTCGTATGATCTCATTGCGGCAGTCAAAATTCAAGGCTTCTCAAGGTCAGAATGTCTTTTTTAAGGTCAAAATTAAGCCTCCTGGTCAGGGCCACAATTTCACGGCTAATTTAAGATTTCCCGGTCAGCTACGAACCCTGAACAGTGTTCTAAGTTTCCCTAAGTCCTTAAGAATGTGGGGCCTAATTTTTTTTTTAAATGAACTTGGCTATCAGGCTGACCCAGCCTTAAGTTTGTACCTGGTACAGTTCTGGAAGTAAAGGCGGTGGCACGATAGTGAATACATCATCCACCAAATGCCATTTGATCTATAAAATATAGGTCTAGCTCTATACACGCAATAAGCCTGAAGGCGTGGAAAAGGATCCTTCACTTTACTTTTTACTGAAGAATGTGTTTTCTTGTCCCTGATACTTACAAAACACATCCTAGATATTTACAAAATTTATTCAAAACAATGTTTGTTGCCAATTAGATGAAGAAAGTATTGGGAGAGAGACTATGTGATGTCTATTTCAGTTCAATTAATTCAGTTTTGTGCCTTCATTATGTTGATGTAACTCTGTAGTAATGCATCTGACAAGATACAGCAGAACAATTTTCGTATTTAAAAAAAAAAACACACACACACACACTTTGTGACGTTGAACACATTCTTACCCACACAGGACTGCAGATAACACCAGGCTAATGTAGCAGTCACTGGTGTCTCAATTATAACTTCATAGGAGATTGAACAGGGTATCTTGGATTTGTCCTGTTGGTCTGCCGCTTTAATTAACCTTGTTCAACTTCAGCGGTATAACCTTCAGGTAGCAGCAGCCCAGAGGGGGAAAACTGGAAGGAAGGAAGGCAGAAGGAAGGAAGGAAGGAAGGAAGGAAGGAAGGAAGGAAGGAAGGAAGGAAGGAAGGAAGGAAGGAAGGAAGGAAGGAAGGAAGGAAGGAAGGAAGGAAGGAACGCACATATGAATTTAAAACTGGCGATATTTAGATGTGTTTGTGAAATCAAGTAAGCATTTAACGACACAAACCTTTGATGACCATGTTTGGCTGTGAGAAGACAGGAGAAGTCCTCCATCTGTCATTGTCATAGTCTCCTGAAGAACGACTGTTGGGCACTTTGACTGGCTGGTAGATGGGAAAGTACACATGTAGTTCACCTCTTTCATATACTGGTAATCCCTTCTTTCCTCAATTCATTCTGTGTGACTGGCTATTTATTCTCCATGTATACCATTGAATGTTTCATGTGTGTCTGTCAGCGTGTCAAGTTAGTCAGCGTGTCAAGTTAGTCAGCGTGTCAAGTTAGTCAGCGTGTCAAGTTAGTCAGCGTGTCAAGTTAGTCAGCGTGTCAAGTTAGTCAGCGTGGCATATATACCCACTGAGAAACAGTGTGTCAGTCAAAATATCATGCATGTCAGTCAACATGTCTCAACTGTCTCAACGTGTCAGTCAATATCTCATCTGCTGCTGTCAATGTGAAACATCATGTGTGTTAGTCAACATACCACAGGTGTTAGTCAACATACCACGGGTGTTAGTCAACATACCACGGGTGTTAGTAAACATACCATGGGTGTTAGTCAACATACCATGGGTGTCATTACCACATAATGGTTGTTAGTCAACATATCATATGTAAGTCAACATATCATGTGTGTTAACACATCATTGTCTTAGTCAAAATATCATGAGTGTTAGTCAACATATCATGTGTGTAAGTCAACATATCATGTGTGTCAGTCAACATATCATGTGTGTCAGTCAATATGACATGCTAAATGTTGAATTAGGAATCAACATCACAGCACTCAGGACACCCCATAAGCGCTCCATCCCTATCTTCAGCAGCAAGCAAAGAGTTAAAATTCTGACGGTACCAGTAAATGTCTGATTGTATATCCGTCTCGCCTTTCCCCTGAGTGTCCAGCGTCCACCAGATCCCTTGCAACTCCTCGCAGTGTCATTCTCCTCAGACGGTAAAGATCATTACTGCAGATATCACCCTCCTGCAATCATCTCTGTGACTCCCCTTCTCCTTCCAGTTGGTGGCGTTTGTAGGTCACATTTTCCATGTTTCTACTCTCAAAAGTGTTTTAACGCCCCAGGGTTTTTGTCGACTTAAACCCATTCCAATTTGAGGCTTAGATATCTATTTCGTGATGAAATAAGGGTTTACATTTTGTTACTTACAAATTACAGTCGTAACTAAATGACAGCATAAATATCTTACCCAGTTTTTAATGGTAGAGTCTGTTGTAGACACCCAGATGTTTGGTTGTGGGGATTCTACCAGCTCCAGCTAGGAAAAGAACAACAGTCTTGAGTACATAGCTAGCAAGTAATACACCCTTTTTCATGAATTTAGGACAACAGTCAGAGCCATATTTTTTAATAACTTAATCAGCATATCGTAGGTGCTGCGGTAAACAATATACCACACGATTTTATTTTCCCAGGGTAGTTTCTGGTACACATTTTAGGCTGTGTTAACCTAGGACAGTAGTTCTTACTGAGCTAAGACCTTTTGTATCCCTCCTATTTATGAAGGTCTGACATGGATCCCACACCTTTTCAGACAAAAAATCTGTACACATGACCTTTTTTGTTTCTAAAAACATATTCATGAAAAAAGGAAACACATCATTATAATTCTCTGAAACTCTACCTTAAGAAGCTAGATGAAAAGAAGAAGCAGGAAAAGAAATTTGGAGGTTTGGTAATTTTTATAAAACTTTAGAAACCCAGGACCACTGAGCAGAAAGCAAGCCTTCTAACTATTGCATCATCATGGCTCCCAAGTCACTTAACAGATGGAATCTTTCTTATTTTAAAATCACTGGTCTGCACAAAAGTGATCTGAATTTTTTTCAACATAAAGGGAAGTAATTTTAAATACAAATAGAGCAAAGAAATACCTTTTTCCATCTCTTCGACCAAGAAAACATGAAGTTTATCCCCACCAGGATCGCACAAGGAGCAATAAACATCCGGTAACACTAAGTGCCACCTTTCAAATAAGAAAACACCCGGGCGTAAGTCCCTGAAACCCCGTTGAACTATTAGGTTATATTAGGGCCCCCAACAACAGCACAGCGAGGCTTTAAAATAACGAAAAATTGTGTCTCATATTGAGATGGTTTTCACACAGCGAGCAAAGTGGAAACAAAAATAAATTATAACTCCAAATAACCCCCAAATTGTTGTTGAAACTATAAATATACCCACCACGTCTACAGACTGTGCAGCTGCTATAAGTATTAAAGCAAAGCTGTTATACAGGTGTAGTGTGTATTGCCCAAAGATGTCAGGTCATGAAAACCCGGTAAAAGTCTGAAAATTAGCCTCCTCAAGGAAACAGGGTTAATAGTTATGCTGAAGAAGGTATTTAGTGATTACTTCCCGTCATATATATTTAAAAAAAAAAAAAAAAAACTTTGCACAATTTCTAAACATTAGAATTGAAAAAAAATATTAAAAAAAATAAGGATTGCATTCTAAAAGTAAAACTTGAGGGTTTTCTTTGTAAATAATATCATGGATCCCTTTCAACTGTTCTAATGAGATCTGTGCTCCCTCAAATGGGAAAAACTGTTTTGGGGGGAAATTTAAGGGGGAAAACAATGGTCAAACCAATGACCACCAGGCTGGCAGGCAGGTGTGCAAACCACTGTTTTTAGTATTATACTGTTGGTCATTTCCCTGCCAGAATGTGAAGCTGTGCTAGAGTGAAGCATGTGAATCATAGCTATAGGCAATGGTGAGTGTGACTAGCAAGACCCAATCAGGTTGAGACAAATATTAATGATGAGATTTCAAGACCATATTAATATATGGTCATGTTTTTTTCAGCCTAAAAGCTCACTTTTTTTTAACCTGTCCATATTATGTATACATATTAATAGTAGAAAATTCTATTATGTTGTTCATATTTCTTTTATTTGTAATGCAAAAAAGGCTCTGTTTATTTTTTGCTTTAGGATCACTTTCCTGCGCCTGGATACTTTGATATTCTCCTTTTTTTTTAAACCTCACACATGCACATGTGCGAACGCACGCACACACACACAAATGATATCACTATCAGATGCATTTATATGGATATAATTACACTTAAGTTTTCAAAACTGGAAGATTATTCACCCTGAACTCATAGATAAAGGCTGCAGGAGTGACTAGAAGAGATAAATCATGTATGAAGTCTTTAGATAAAAAGTCAGCACAGAACCAATTCTCATTTTACATACACATACAGCACATACATTTCTTTTCTCACTAAGAAGGCCTTGTGACGCCATACCATACAAGGCATATAACATAAGTGGAGAGGGTTTGAGGTTTGAACAACGGATCCATATCATGGCACACGGGTAGTAACCCATAAGTGCTCAATTTTTTTTCCAACTCAAGTTAGAACTTCTAACTCGGAAGAAGTTCAGCATAGTGCACAAGTTCTGTAGCACTGGCCAGGATCCTAAAATACTTTTGGGTAGATTTTTAACTTCAAATTTATCCCGGGCAGTGCCGTTAGGCTATTCTTTTTTAAATTTCCAACTACCAAGGGTTTTTTAATGAGCGGACACCATGCTTCGAGACCACGCAGCCCCCCTCCCGCCCGCAAGTGAAGAGGGATGAAGAGCATAAGCTAGATAAACAATAAAATGAAAAGAGAACATCAGAGAAACTCTACAACAGTATGAAGTATGCATGGAAAGGGCAGAACCAGAAAATTTGATCTCCTTTGACACTTGAAGCAGTACAAGAGAAAGTGAAGAAATAGAATTCAAAGATATTCGTTACCGGTTTACAAAAGGAATAGCATTGCTCTTGAGTCACATCATGTGGAGCTCAGTCTCCCATAGCAAATACAAAGTGCACTGATGCTAACTTTCACTTCTGTCTTTTGGCTGGACACATTTAGAACTCATACATAAATACACAGGAACACTGTGGCCTGGTGGTTAAGCCTTGTCACACGCTTTGAAGATTATGGGTTCATTTTACTGATGTTGCCTTTTGGTTCATGAGTAAATCTGTTACAAAGATCTTGGGGATTGCTGCTGGAGATACTGAGACCGTGCTTTGTGCAACCATTTCAGAAAGTGGCTTGCCATTCTGCAAAGAGAGACCGAGCCACCTGGGATAAAATCTAGTACAAAGAAGTCTTATCCTCTCACCTTTCATCTGTAAAACATAAACAGATAGTAACTGAGCTTGACAAGAGAAAGGTAACTGACCTTCAACACTGGGCTTTTCTCCTCACAGATCAGTTCTCTGTTGTCTGGCAGTCTGATATCTGTTGCCCACACTCGTCTGTCTCTACCTCCAGAGAACACCACAGAAAATGTTTCATTTGCCTGTGAACGAATAATGTGAGATTCTCACCAATGCTGAGCTGAGTCAAGTACCGACATCACAAAGCCTGGGTAATTTCCATATGCGCTCCATCCTCATCTTCAGCAGATAGCAAAGAGTTCCAATAGTGATGGTACCAGCAGCAGTTTGATTATATGTCAGTCTTACCTTTCTTCTGAGTTTAGAGTGTTGGCCGGATGCCCTGGTCACTCCAGCCACACCAGTCTCTCCAGGCTGTAATGATTTCTTTGTGCTTCCACATTGTTCACTTGTCTGCCACCACATCTAGCTTCACATGCATTAAGTCACCACTAAATGATGCAGCACCAGCCAATCTGCCTGGTCATTTCCTGATACACCTAAATACCTTGGAAAAATATTCAAAGGTCGCTAACTACCTGGAGACCTCTGAAGTGATGCCAGCTACTCTGCATGCAGCATGCCTGTCTCCACCTTTCTCAGAATGCTTTGTGAGCGTTGCAATCATGATATGTGTATGCAACTAGTTTTTAAGCCAGCAAAAAGCTGCTGTGACTGCCTCCACCTCCATTTTCAAACTAGATGTTGTGGTATTATATCCTAGGCTTTTTGTACAGACATCTGACCAATGTTTTAAGATGTGAAGAGTTGTCAGCAAAAATTCTACATTAGAAGTGTTAAAGTTATTTCTGACTATCTGACAGTTGGTATCTGTTTGAATCTCAGAGATTCAGAAAAAAAAAAAAAAAAAAAAAAGAAAGACTCCTTGGTCAAGTTAAAGTGGCAGTACAACATCTGTTGTTAGATGTTAGATTCTTATCGCTGAATCAAACAGCAGTCACTAGTTCTCAGTTCTCTTTTTCAAAACCCTAAGCCAGTCTGACACCAACATTGTTCATCTCTTATGGATTGTAAGGCAGGCTGAAGTGCTACTATTCTTTGCTTCCCTTAAGCCAGTCCCTCCAAAAAGCTGCAAAACTGACACTTCTGTTTGGGTTCTATTCACCGTGCATGACACTTTATGGGCCATGTTCGTAAGAAGCCTAGTTGGCTTGTTCATAAGAAGCCTAGTTAATAGCACTGCTATCATCTGCACCTGCCCAAGCAATTAGGTGGTCCTTTAGAGAATATCCCCTCTCTTCACCTGAAAGTCTCTCTTTCTCTAGTCAATTCTCTAGCCCTGTGTGCTTTCAAAGCTAAGGCAGGAACATAAGATATATTTAAAAACAAAAGAAAGAATTTTTACCTGCAAGGCCCATACTCCCTCATCATGCACCCTGAATGTGGCAACACATCTCTGCTGACCAAGAGACCAAAGTCTAATAGTTCCATCTGAGCTACCTGACAGGCACTGTAAAAAACATCATCATTACAAGTTAATCTGTTTCTAATCTCTTTTCCAAATATTACAGAAGGGGTTCTCTGTGGCACAGTGATCACGCCATGTTCCTCATGCTCTGAAGATCCTGGGTTCATCTGCAGACTGTTGTCATTCTGCCATGAGTGCAGTTTCTAAGAAGAGCCCTGTGGAACATGGCTGGATGATGCAATGAAGTCGACCCTCTTGACTTTGACGTCACATAGTACAGAACTCAAGGGGAGCTCTGCTTGCAGAATGGCTAGATGCTTGCCTGCTGGCCCCAAGATGTTAAGTTCGAATCCACACCAGGCAAATATGGAGGGAAAAAAACACTGTCTCTGGTTAGCAGACTATTTGAACCTAAAATAGGTATCAGGAAATTTCCTAGAAAGTGAATGCAGGTGGCATGATACTGACCACATCACCCACCGGGTGCCTACTGGTATGTAACAAATATGGCTCTAGCATCATATGACCAATGCACCGCTAGCTTAAAAAGAGATAAACTACCCATTGCCTCTGAATAAGTAAGTGTGTTGTAAAAAAAAGCGATTAGTTAAGGGTTTGGAGAAATTGGTTATGTTGAGCTGAATGGCACAGATTCCCATTTACAAGGAGGAAAATAACAGATTTACTGTCACCCTAACAAGTACGTTGTTGGAGTTTGCTGAAATCAGATGTGTTGGGCCAAAGGCGCAGATTACGCAGCCTAGTTGTAAACCACAACACGCCAACCAGCCTTTTAAGGGCGAATACAGAAGATGAAGAAGAAGAAGAAGATGATGAAGAAGAAGATGAAGCCAAAAAAAGAAGAATGAAACAGATTACTCAACCTAACTGTAAACTACAATACAATGTGCCAACTACTATTATTAAGGATGAACGTAGAAGTAATCTGCAGTTGTGCACCTGCTACTGAGCTATCTCAGGAAAAAATATGTAAATTAAGTTACTGTATAAACATTTTCACATATGAGATAGAATAACCTAAAAAACATTTTCAATTTCAGCTTTTATTAAATACTGGGGCCTACCTGTGTCCCATCCTTGTTGAGTAACAAAGCTTTAACATTGTCTGTATGGCCCTTGAGTTTCATCAACTTCTGACACATTCGTGTGTCCCAGACACGCAGCACCTTCTCTGTGGACCCGGACACAATCACTGAGCCAGACTGATTCATAGCCAGGCTGTAAATGGAGTCTTTGTTTCCTGTGAGGCTTGAGGCTGGAAAACAAAGTTCATTAACAAAGTACTAGAACATGTTTTTTTTTACTCATGTAGTATGTAATTCTCAATGCTCAGTCTACAAAGGCACAGGTGGCTGGGTCACACTGGAGAATGGAGGATGGCAGAGTCCCTAAGAACATCCTTTATGGTGAATTGAAAAAGGGGTAGATGTCGAGGCCGACCTCTACTACGGTATAAAGATATGTGCAGGCGGGACATGAATGATACAGGTATTCAGGTGGACTCATGGGAACAAAATGCCATGGACCGTGTTGTGTGGAGAGGGAATATCAGGAAGGGAATGAGTGAAGGAAGAAATGATTGCAGAAAAGATGAGAGCTGAGCATGTAAGAAGAAATGGATTAAATACAAATTTTGACAACAATGGTCCTGAAGTCCCATGCTATCATTGTGGAAGACTAGTCACACTCGCCATGGCCATGGGCTGTGAGTCCCATGCCTCCTCATAGTGCGATATAACACTATCGTCTGGAAAGAGGGAACGGTGCCAATCAATCAATCAGTATCAATCATGTGGGACCTCCACAATGATGACAAGTGCCATCTCCCCACTGATGACATGTGTCATCTCCACACTGATGACATGTGTCATCTCCCCACTGATGACATGTGTCATCTCCCCACTGATGACAAGTGCCATCTCCCCACTGATGACATGTGTCATCTCCCCACTGATGACATGTGTCATCTCCCCACTGATGACATGTGTCATCTCCACAATGATGACATGTGTCATCTCCACAATGATGACATATGGCACCTCGACAATGATGATGTGTGCCATCTCCCCACTGATGACATGTGGCATCTCCCCACTGATGACATGTGGCATCTCCACAATGATGACATGGACCACCTCCACAATGATGACATATGGCACCTCACAATGATGATGTGTGCCATCTATACAATGACATCGTGTGTCATCCCCCCTGATGATGACATGTGTCATCTCCACAATGATGACATGTGCCACCTTCACAATGATGACGGCTGGTGTATTTTTTAATTGTTCCCTTTCTCATTTTCCATGACACCCTAGCAGCAAGCATAATACTTCTTCTTCTTCACTTTCACCAGCGGGGAAACTCCAGCAGAACTTTCTGGTTGTTCCCCGTTTTTTATTTGTTAGCTTCAATAGTTATTTCCTGTCATCATTTTTTCACCATCATGATTTATTTCTAGACCTCAGAAGTTTGGTTTTATAAATCAATGCTTAAAAAATTCCTGGGACAAAACATGTTGTGACAAGTGCAAGGATTTATGAAAAGAGAGATAAGGGAAAGACAATATGAGAAAATTCTGGACAACCTGTGTATTGGTATAACACAAATTGATACATGCTGTTGAAGATCGCAAGTTGTAGAGACGCAAGATCATCCATGCTGGTCAGCAAGGTGCTTGATGACAATTTTTTTACAAATACAATATAGCTGAAGTGTTAACCATTTATAACTTCGGACAGGACACTGTGGTCTTCGAGCACACCTGCACAGGATAGGCATAAAAGAATCTGCTGCCTGTGATTGTGGAGCCGAAAGACAGACCCATGAGCACATACTGCCCTAACTTCTCCCAGCAAAGACTGGATCTGGCCCAAGGGAGCCACACTGCAAGAGAAACCATGGGGGACCGGTAGCGGCCTTAAACACACAATCATATTTATGACCCAGATGGGACTGAATGTTTAGCATGACTGATGTCGAACGCAAAAGAAGACCATTCATAGAGTTTCACTCAGACTAACTTTTATTTGTTACTTTTACCACGCGAAGCAGCAGCAGGCTGAAACAGTTAGAAAGCTGAGCTCTTAAGCGGGAGACCCAGGTTCGACCCCGTGAGACTGGGAATCTTTCATGTTGGGTACAAAAATAAAATCGTGACCTGCACAGTCCATAATGACAGCACTAGCCATGTCTCCCTAAATCCTCAGACTCAAAGACTGCCTTGTGTACATGTAGCACAGCTGTCTTCTTTGTGTATGTTGACGTCACACCCAGGTTTATCTTTAGTTTGCTACAAAAGGAATCAATTGAAGAATAGACGAGGAGAGAGATGGTTGTGATGACAGTGTTGATGATGATGGTCTCTCACGTGAGGGATGCTTGTATGATAAAATTTTGTGAAACAGCTCTTCTTTTCTTTACTGCGATACCTCAGTGCTGTCACAAAATGACATCAGATACTATTTATAGATTATTCATTTGCAAGTCTCTCTGACAAAAAAACAAGAGATGGTTCTAGAAAGGGAACATCAATGTTGCTAAGATTTGTTGACCCCCAGTCCACTCAACTAATATGCAGTACCCTATCTCCTGACAAACATGTGATGATGTCTCCCTGTTACACGTTTCTCTGTTACACGTCTCCCTGTTACACGTCTCTCTGTTACACGTCTCCCTGTTACACGTCTCTCTGTTACACGTCTCCCTGTTACACGTCTCTCTGTTACACGTCTCCCTGTTACACGTCTCTCTGTTACACGTCTCCCTGTTACACGTTTCTCTGTTACATACATCGTGAAAGTGGTAAACACAGGCAGTAAATGCAGTGGTGTTTTTTTAATTTTTAAACCACCCAAAGAAAAAGAAAATGATACAAGAGTTCCTCAGAAGAGATATGAATTCTTAGTTCATCCTGTCCTTCTTATATAGGTTAAATAGCTTTAATTAAAAGCTCTTTACACTTACTTGTAACGGTATTGTTTGATGCTGTTAATGCAGTTAATGTGTTCACATCCCAGAGAAATATCTGTCGGTCAAGTCCTGCTGACGCCACCTGTTCTCTGTCTTTAGCATACGCCAGTGCCTTCACATAGTCTTTATGTGTACGCAGAGTGGACATACAGAACCCTTTATGAGCATTCCAGACCTTCACTGTTGTATCACTGGATGCTGATATCACTGTCAATGAAATTAATATATAAATACTGTTGTATGTGCCATAACATGATATTTAATTATTCAGTCAATCAGGCGGCATCTACAAAATCAAAGTCGGCTGCGATGGATCTCCAAAATGCTCTGCCTCTTATCTTGGTAGTACACTCTCTCAGATGACTGCTGTTCATCCAATCCTTGATGTTGTCCTCCCACTTGTATCACTGTCTACCTCTGCCCTCAACTTTTCCATCCAGTGTGATTTTTAAGACAGTGTTATGTCTTTTATAGGTGGCCAATTCATTTCAAATGTCTCTCTTTTGTTTCTTTCAGAGCTCTCTTCTCATTCCCAGTCTGTAACATGACATTACAGAGCATAGAAATAACATTTATTACAGAATACAAGATGTCTGTAAAATCTCACTACACTTTATATGCAGAATAAATCTGAAAAACAAAGAATATGACATCATCAACAAACTTTGCTTAAAAAAAGTCATCAAATTAGTTACAATAGTCACTGATCTGGTCTAACTTTGTTTTGGGAACACTGGAAAATGCCAGTGAAATATTTATTACAACAGGTGTTGGAAATGTTCATCATGGGTTTCAAGACATAAATGGTGGTGCTGGAGTGTACATCGAATTCCCAGATGGTACTAGGGATAAGTCCAGCGTACCAACAGGGAAGGACTGCCATAACTATGAAGCAGAAACTCAAGTTATCAAGAAAGCAACAAAGAAACTGCTAAATACCAATCTTGGCTCACAGTATGTGGTAATGCTGACAGATGCTTAATCAGTACTTGAAGCACTCCAGTCTAGGAAACTACCAGAATTGCAAACACTGCTGACACAACTTAGCCTTCAGCGAAGAGTTGTAATGCAGTGGGTACCGTCTCATTGTGGAGTGCCTGGAAATGAGAAAGCTGATCAACTGGCAGGGGAAGGTGCGACAAAAGAGCAGCCGGATGTACCAGTCACATACCACCAAAAGAAAAGAATCATTAAATCAATCAGGAAACCACCAGCCCCAGCACAAGACAACTATTTTATTATGGACAGATCAGAACTAGTCATTATCCTCCGCCTCAGAACAGGGCACAACCGATTACGTAACCACATGTACACAAAATTCAAGATAGACAAATTCAAGATAGACGTATCAGCCATGTGCACCTGTAGAAATGCGCCCCAGACAGCAGAGCATGTACTCCAGGACTGCACCGATTTTGACACATTAAGGCAAACCTTTTGGCCAGAAAAAACAACAGTGGAACGTAAACTCTATGGACCACTGAATGAACTAACAACGACAGTGAAATTTATACAAGAGACAAAACTGCTGATATAGACAACTTATTTCAGGCGAACGAAAGAAGAAGAAGAAGAAGAAGAAGACATAACTGTACACATCTCTTCATATTGACCAATCCTTCTGCAAGTGTCATTCTGACTGTGTGTCCATCTTGTTTTGAGTGTTGTCCAGATCTCCTAAAGTCAATTTCCCTGTCTTTCCATGTTGCCGCTCTCATAATGCTGTCCAAAAACCATGACATCTGGGTTTTTAAACAATCCCTTCGCCACAGAAAAAAAACCCTATGTATTTGAGGATCTTGAAATTGGTTAAACACATTCACTAAACTCTAAGCCGCAGAGTGGCACACTCAAATCGCAAGTAAACAACATCCACCAGAAACTACATTCTATTTTTGCTTTTATGCATACAAACTGAGCTGAACTGAGTCAAGAACCAACATCACAGCACTCAGGACACTCCTAAACCCACAGCACCCTCATCTTCAGCAGCCAGCGAAGAGTTCAAATTCAGATGGTCCAGTAGCTGTTTGATTATATGTCCATCTGGCCTATCCTTTAAGTGTACCGTGTCGGCCAGACCCCCTGGTATCATTCTCTCCACATCGTAACGATCTATTTGTACCAGACCCCCTGGTCAATCCCCAGGGCATCATTCTCTCCATATCGTAACGATCTATTTGTACCAGACCCCCTGGTCAATCCCCATGGCATCATTCTCTCCATATCGTAACGATCTATTTGTACCAGACCCCCTGGTCAATCCCCATGGCATCATTCTCTCCACATCGTAACGATCTATTTGTACCAGACCCCCTGGTAAATCCCCATGGCATCATTCTCTCCACATCGTAACGATCTATTTGTACCTCCAAATTATTGCTCCAGGAGGGTCTTGACCTCCCTTTTTAGGATTTAGGGGCGCTGTTTTTTTTAAAGAGGGGGGGGGGAAGGTGTGGGTAGATCAACTGCCACTTAAACAGGCATGTCCTAGGAGGCAATTAATTTACTCCATTAATTTCATCAACTAATTTGGAAGTACTTCCTTCAAAGTCAGAGCGTATCTGCCTGAAAGGCAATAAACAAACAGCCTGCATTCAAATAATTCAGATCTGTAAAACAGATGTGCATGCAAAACTCAAGTTCTGGAACAAGATCAAAGTCCAAAAATGGATGAACAACCTGAACTTTTTGATAAGAGAGAAACATATAGAAGCAAAAACAGGCAAATGGTTTATAATGAAATAGTAGTAAATTCAAATTAGTAAATCTACAGGACATACTGGTTCAAAAACCCTCCAGGTTAGGAAGATTATTAACTCTCTGCATACCAATGAGCCTATCATATGGTATTTATAACCAAGCTGTCATTTGAGATCAAAGAGTTAAGGTGGGTAAGAATTCAACACAGATAATGCCTAACAAACAACATCCAAGTCAAGAGCGCATATAGTTTGTTACAGACTTACATGTTCTTCCACCGCAGCATAATACAATATCATTGACCCAATCTGTGTGGTGCTCCATTGACAGAATGTAAGGGTCCTGGAAGTTACAAACATTATTAAGAATTAGGAAGCAATACAATGTATCACATTCAACAAACATATCACATATAACAATCAGGAAGTAACATGTTACACACAACAATAAGAAAATGTGGCACCTATCACACACAACAATACTAGCAAAGTTCATGGTATGGCACAAGGCAAAAGGGGCAGAGGTCAACAAGCACAAAGATGGGCACAGGGCATAAGACACGTCTTCAGCAGGAAAGTACATGAGGTGGCAGCTGGTGAGGGGTTGAATTTCTCTCTGGCAGGCTGTGAAGGGAAGATTTTCTGTAAAGGACCTGATATATGATGATCACATAGAATAATCAGGAAATTATATAATGTATCAAAGATAGCAAGCCAGAAGTAACACAAACCATCACATATAACAAGCAATAACATGAGCTATCCCAATTATAAATCAGGAAGCAAGACAATCTACTACCCAAAAAAAAAAAAATCCGGAAATAATACATCCTACCACATATAACAATTCAAGAAGTGACACACCTTATTACATATAGCAATAACAATCATGAAGCAATTACTCTATTAGCTACGAGTTGAGTTGAGTTAAGAAAAGAACCTTCTTTTTCTTCTTCTTCTTCTTTGTTCCCTGGCTGTAAGCTTAGGCGGAAAGTCGTGGTTGTTTACCCATTTGGACTTTGGCTTTTTGCCAGGGCCTGAGTTTTGCTTGTACATCTGTTTTACTGGCTTATTTGTGTGCAGCTGGTTGTTCTTTGCTGCTCGGGCAGATGCAGCACTCTGACTTTGTTAAAAGGAAGCCCCCTCCCAACCCCCCCCCCCCCCACCCCAATTAATCTACTCCAATGACATGCTCATTGGGGAGACAGTGAGTCTATTTTTGTTTTCCCCACAATAAGGCCCCGGAACCTACATGGGGAAAGTCAACAACCAAAATCACAGCATCTGGAGGACCGGGAGGCCATCTTTAGTCTGGCTCCTCACCAATGACCTGTCCGGCTTGGGTGACCCTGCCAGGAACATACGTTCCCGCCGGCATAGCTCATTAGATCACAGAGGCTCTCAAGCTCCCCCACCACTACAAGGTAATGGCCTCCAGGCTCGGGGGTTGGGCGCAGTGTTGACAGCTCTGCCCTGTAAAAAATCTACAACGTTACTGAAACTTCAAGAGGAAATAAGTGCTCTAAACGTCCGGTGGTCTTGGGACAGAGTCCCTCTGTCAGCATGAACAACATGGGTGAAAGCCGAAAGGAAGCCCATGATGGGAAAACAAGTCTGCTGGATGTCAAAACCAATTAAGAATTGGCTTCTGGAATGTAAGAACCATGTTTGAAATGGCCAAAACCGCCCAAGTAATTAAAGAAATGCAGAACTATAAACTGCATATTCTTGGAATTAGTGAAAGCAGGTGTGGCACTTATTTTAAAGAAAGGTATACACAAACATCTCATCGAGTGGCATCCAATCAATGAAAGAATAATGACAGCACGATTCAATGGCAAACATGCCAAACTTACAGTCATCCAATGCTACGCACCGACTAATGAAGCTGAAGATGAAGATAAAGAAACATTCTTTAGGAGACTGCAAGAGGTAGTAGATAAAGTACCAGCCCATGATATTCTATGCATTATGGGAGATCTCAATGCAAAAGTTGGTAACAACAACTTGAATAGAGAACTATCAATGGGAAATCAAGGATGTGGTACAATTAATGACAACGGGGAAAGATTGAGTGACTTCTGCACGGCGAATAGACTTGTTATAGGAGGAACACTATTTCCTCACAAGAACATACACAAGCTTACATGGATATCCCCAAACAGAAGAGATGTAAACCAGATCGACCATTTCATGGTAAACAGAAAATGGCGTGGGTCCCTACTCGATGTGCGTGTCAAAAGGGGAGCAGATGTGGGAAGCGATCATCACCTTGTAGTCGTTCTACTATGACTTAAACTCAAAAAAGTTTACACGCAAGTTAAGACACAGACAGCACTTTACAATGTTAATCTTTTAAAAGAAAAAGACATTGCCACTAAATTTATAGTAGAACTCAAGAATAGATTTCAAACCCTATCAAGTGACCCAGAAACTCCAACTACAATCAGCATTCAAGACAGATGGAACCAGATAAAAGAAACATACAAATCAACTGGCAATAAAATATTAGGAACCAGGAAACAACACCACAAAGAATGGATAAGTAGTCAAACCACGGACTATATTGCCAAGCGAAAAAGAATAAAGAGCCTCATAAATCACACTAAATCAGAACGTCAGAAAGACAAACTAATGTTAGAATATAGCAAACTAAATAAAATGACCAAGAAAAGTGCCAGAGCTGACAAGAGAAGATTTATGGAAAATCTTGCAGAAACAGCAGAAAATGCTGCTAAAGCACATGATCTACAAACCCTACACAAAATTACCCAGCAAATTTGCAGAAACAGAAACAACTATAACAGCATACCCATCAGAGATAACCAAGGCAGACTGCTCACCACAGAACAAAAACAAGACATGCAGTGGACTAAACACTTCTCCGACCTCTTGAACAGACCTGATCCTGAAAATACCCCAGAAATTCAACCAGCCTCAGGACATTGACATTATTACTGAAGCACCAAGCAAACAAGAAATCCTTAAAGCTATCCACACTTTAAAGAACAACAAAGCACCAGGCAAAGACGAATTGTCAGCAGAACTTCTCAAAGTGGATCCCAACACAACTGCTAGCATTCTAGAACCATTGTTCAAGGATATTTGGGAAAAAGAAGTGTTGCCTGAAGACTGGACTGAAGGAACAATAGTCAAAATCCCCAAAAAAGGAGACTTAACAGACTGCAATAATTGGAGGGGAATTACTCTACTCTCAGTACCAAGCAAAATATTTTGTAAAATCATCATAATGCGGCTTGAAAAAGGAGTAGATAAATGCCTACGAGTGAAACAAGCAGGATTCAGAAAGGGCAGAGGAACAACTGAGCACATCTTCGCCATACGAAACATTTTAGAACAATGCAACGAATGGCAGAGAAGTATATATATTGATAGCGTCCATAGAGACGGTCTGTAGAAAATTTTACGACATTATGGAATTCCAGAAAAAATAGTCAACATAATTGCTCTCTTCTATAAAGACTTTTCCTGCAGTATAAAAAATTACAATACATCTTTCCCAGTAAAGACGGGTGTAAGACAGGGATGTGTTATGTCATCTCTCCTCTTCAACCTTGTGATTGATTGGATACTAAAGAACACAGTAGACAGGACATTAAGAGGCATACGATGGACTCCATTCACAGTGCTTGAGGACCTTGATTTTGCAGATGATATAGCACTCCTATCACATAAACATGAACATATACAAGAGAAAAGTAACAGACTACATAGCACAGCAGAAATGGTGGGACTGAGAATAAATTCAAAGAAAACTAAGATCATGACAAACAGTCCAAACCAACAACCAGTGACCATAACTAACCAATCACTTGAAAATGTAGAACATTTCACGTATCTTGGCAGTGTGGTGTCCCTACTGGGAGGGACAGAGGAAGACATACAGTCACTTCTGAACAAAGCTAGAGCTGCTTTTGGAAGGATGAGGCAAATCTGGAAATCCAACAATTACTGCAGAGGAACGAAACTCCGACTCTACAAGAGCATCATTTTGCCAGTTCTTCTCTATGGAGCGGAATGCTGGAGAATGACCAAAAAGGATGCACACAAGCTGTCCACCTTCCACCACACATGTCTACGTAGAATTATCAAAATTTTCTGGCCAGATACAATCTCAAACACTAAACTACTTCAAACCACAAACCAAGAAACTTTAGACAGTATGATTACCAAGAGAAGATGGAATTGGCTTGGCCACGTTATGAGAATGACTTCTGATATACCTGCCAAAACAGCTCTCACATGGACACCAGAGGGAAAGAGAAAACAGGGGTGCCCAAAAACAACATGGAGACGAACGATGGAAAGTGACCTGAGTGCGGCATCTTTGACATGGAAAACTGCATTAAAGATTGCACAGGACAGGAAAGCATGGAAAGTCCTCTCTAAAGCCTCATGTGCCACTAGGCATAACGAGAACTGATGATGAAAATCACAGCATCTACATAAGCACTCCATCCCTATTTTCAGCAGCCTGCAGAGTTACTGTTCCAATGATACCAGAAGCTTTTCCACTGAGTGCTGAGTGTCACCCAGATCCCTTCCAATCCATTTATACTGACTGCATCATTCTCTCCAGACTGTGAAGATCTATTT